CGCACCCTTCGCGGTGCCGGTCGCCGTTCCGCTGCCCCTCCCCCGCCGCCGAGCTCGGCGCTGCGGTCCCCTCCCCGTCACAGCCGGCTCTGGAGGCGTCGTCAGGTGTCGGCAGTAAATCGGGAGATCGGTTGTCTTACAGTCTCTAACCTTCTCCGCAGATTTTGTGTATTTGTCGTGTGCACAGACACGTCCTGTGGACCGAGAACTGACAGGCCCCAGTCCTCAGGTGCTTTAAACGCCGCCTGTGGGGGCGGCGCGGCGGTGGGAGCACGGGCTCCGCGGAGGGGCCTAGGTCTGTGCTGCTGCGACCAGCCCCACCCGAGGGCCGCGGGCTGCGCGGGCCGTGCCCGCTGGACATCGGTGCAGCGCTGCTCCTGCCTGCCCCGCCGCCTGCCCGCCTTTCTTCCCAGGCTGTGGGCTGGTTTTGTACCGTTCCTGCCACTGGTAGGAGGTGGTAGGAAAGGTACCAGCTCCTCAGCTGCGAGTTGCCTGGGGTGTATGTATTCATGGCAAAGGTTCTGTGATCTGGTACTGGTGGCTTAAAGGAAAGATTTACAGAACATTTTTAAAAGCCCTCAACAAAGACAAGTTCACAGATCTGTGAGATGGACCTGGATCGGAGAGTAGCTTCTGGTCCGCTTCTCTTACCCCTGGAAGCCCACTCACTCACTTCTCCACACACTCAGCACTCACGTTCGGTGGATGTAACACGGTGGCTTTCTTTTTTGATTTGTCTCCATACTGGGGTCAGCAGTGACCTGGTTCCTGTAGCTGGAGTGTCAGAGGTCAGGTAGGGAGTGTTAGGCGGCAAGGTGGGGAAGGAGACTTACAGCAGAAGTAGTCCTGTGTACCTTCCTAGCTCTCCACCTACCTGCTCACATTGTTTCTTGTGTTCTGCAGATCCAGTTGATGAAAGAACTACTGTGTGTTTTGGGCTTGCATACCTGAGGGTTTTTTGGGAACCAGAATTGTATTCATTGTGTGTGGGTGTTTTTGTTGGGGGTTGGGGGAGTGGATGGTGGGGTAGTGATCAAATTTGCGAACAGACTTTGGCTTTTGGATAACCACTTGCACTGTGTCCCCATTAGTACTGGAATCCATCAGCACCACGAGTCTTCTGCTTATTAAATTAACACAGAACAACAGTAAAGGCGCTTGCATAAGTTTTGGGCCCTGTCTGCTTTCCCATTAACTGTGGTCATACCTCTGCTTTCCTTTGGTTCTTGCAACCCTTTTTCCCACTTAAATTGCTTCCTCTCCAGCTCTTTCAGCATTTCATTTATTACATTTATATTATAACTCAAAGAACATATTTCAAAATACAAATGATTGCCCAAGGGTTCAAAATTAACTTAAGGCGTTTCAGTAAAATGTCATATCATAAATTTACCCTTCAAAGAAAGTAATAGATTTCTTGATGATGTTATTATCCTAACCATCTTGTGTTATAAATAGAACCACTATCTCCAATGTAGAGATGGCGAAACATACAGACAGATTTAGAAACATCCTTAATTCAACAAATATTTATTGTGTACTTGCTATCAGGTGCTGTGCTATTGGAGCAGGTGGGGTGAAAGTGTGATGGTCATGATACAGACAGAACCTTCAGTATAGACCAGCGATTGCCCAGTAGAAATATGTGAGCCGAGTATTTAATCTAGATTTTTTAGTAGCCGCATTAAAAAAGTAAACAGAAACAGGTCAAATTAAAGTTAGTAATATATTTCATTCAAATGAAATATATTCAGAATTTTGTCATTTCAACATGTATCCAATATATAAAATTATTTATAGAATGGTTTACAGTTTTATGTACTACGTCTTCAAAGTCTGGTGTATATTTTATATTTAAATCACATCTTATTTTAAGTACTCAGCCAGAGGTGTGTATGTATTACTGTATTACACAACGTGTGTGTGTGTGTGTGTGTGTGTGTGTGTGTGTGTGTGTGAGAGAGAGGGAGAGAGAGAGAGAGAGAGAGAGAGAGAGAGAGAGAGAGAGAGAAAGAGAGAGAGAGAGAAGGCCCGCATAAACACAGTGTGGGGAGGAATACAAGCTCCAGGATAAGATGGGCAATTTCAGGAGCCTGGGGTGAGTAGATGTGATGAGAGAAGACTTGAAGTGTCATTCAGGCCAGGCCATGGATCCTGTTGGGGTAGAGATGTTTAAGCTGAGATCAGAATGTATTACTCAAAGTTATAAGGTTAGTTAGTGGCAAAGTAGGTTGCCAGAAGCCAGAAATTAAAAGCCTTAACTAGAGTTTGTTCATGTCTTATTGTGTGACTTGGAATTAGGCTTCATATTTTCCCTATCTATAAAAGAAAAAATAAAGGTTGATTGGCAGGATCAGTGGAATTATTATAAGGTGCTAACCATAAAAATGCTTTTCTAAGCACTTTTATAAGTAATGTATAATGCCCTTCAAACTGAAAACGTAATCTACAGTATGTATGTCCTGAGGTTACTGGGACAAGATTTCTTTCCAATCTGTCAAGTTAATTATCCTTGACCAAAGAAAACTTATGAACTAAACAATGCAGATTCCATTCTGACTGCTTGGCATTTTTATTTTTATTTTTTTAAAATATATTTTATTGATTTTTCACAGAGAGGAAGGGAGAGAGATAGAGAGTTAGAAACATCGATGAGAGAGAAACATCGATCAGCTGCCTCCTGCACATCTCCTACTGGGAATGTGCCCGCAACCCAGGTACATGCCCTTGACCGGAATCGAACCTGGGACCTTTCAGTCCGCAGGCCGACGCTCTATCCACTGAGCCAAACCGGTTTCGGCTGCTTGGCATTTTTACTGATATTTCATGCCCTCAGGGAAGATCTTATCCATATGTTCCAGTCTCTGGGAGAACACCATGCCCATCTCAGTTGGATATATACAGTGTGTTACACAGAGTGTCTAAGGGAGAAAGGCTTCTTTGTTCTGGCCAATTGAAGACGATGAGGAAATACAGAAAGAGAACACAGCAATTGTGATCTCTTATTTTTTTGAGCCTCATATTATGTGCCTGCAGTTTGTAAAATCTAAGCCTCACTACGGCCCTAGGAGGTCAGCCTGTCTTTTCCTTTTTGTACAGATTGGAAATGGAGACTTGTACAGATTGGAGAGATGAAGTAGTATGATTAAGGTTCTACCAAATGCTAGGAAGTGGCAGGACTGAGTTTGGAACCCAGTTCCCACTGATTTTGAAGATAGGAGAAGCCTTTCCTTTGACCTGGGGTGCCAGTTCAGCCCACATTCTAAGGATGCTAAAAAATAACTTGAGAAAGCTACCCAGAGTTCCAAATTAATTGCAAAATAGGAAAGCCACCTCCTCTCTTTCTTCATGTTTGACATTGATAAAGCAAAAGGAGGGAAAGGGAGGCAACTAAAACTATCATTTCATTCCCTTTTGTGCAATTCCCAAATAGATTCTCTGAACTGGTCAAATTTATAATCACTAATGAGCTTATTGTATGCTGGGGCAAATCTTGAGACTTTACCTCTGATCCTCACCACAGCCCTGTATAGTAGGTACTGTTATTTGTATTCCTGTTTTACAGATGAGATACACAGAGTTTAAGTGACCAGCCCAAAGTTACCCATTTGGTGAGTGGCAGAGCCTGGGCTCTAAGCCAGATGATAGGTTCATAGCCATAACACAGAGTGCCTCTCTGTGCTGCTAAAAGGGTCAAACTAGTACAGTGGTCGGCAAACTCATTAGTCAACAGAGCCAAATATCAACAGTACAATGATTGAAATTTCTTTTGAGAGCCAGATTTTTTAAACTTAAACTATATAGGTAGGTACATTGTTATTAACTTAATTAGGGTACTCCTAAGGCTTAGGAAGAGCCACACTCAAGGGGCCGAAGAGCCGCATGTGGCTCGCGAGCCTCAGTTTGCCGACCAAGGGACTAGTACATGTCTCAGTGAGGATTGGAGTGAAACTGAACGCAATTGCATGCAAATATCATGTTTCTGTGGAGCCTTCTCAAACTCCTAATGGACTCAAAGTTCTCTCAAGTGTCTAAACCCCCAAATCTTTTGGGGAGGACCTATAAAGAAAATGACTATCTCATTATCATCTTATTAGTCTTAAGTGGTAATGTAATACCCCATCAAAAACAAATACCCATTTTTTCTAGCCAGCATTATATTGGAGAAACCGGCCCAAATGCGTCTCTAAATGTACGTTTTTATCTTGATCAACCTGAACTAATGACCTAGAAGTGGGCTAATATGTTACCTAGGGTAGGATCTGAGAGCATCTTCTGGCTTAAAAGACAGTTCATCCAGCACCCAGCTGCCCAGTCTGGTAACCTCTTCCTTCCTCCCACTCTGCTCTGTGTCCTCTAAAAGCAACCTTCTGGGTGAAAAGGGATGTTGTCCTAGTATTTCATGGGAAACTTGCTTATGATAATAGGAGACAAATACTTCAATTAGTGCATCACTTTTAGATGAGAAGCCCACTATTGTAAAAGAAAGAGGGACAAGCTACCAGAAAGCCTGTCTTAGAGTGTCTCTCACTCTGCTGCTTCATGCTGCAATCTTGAACAAGTCACTGAATGTCTTTGTTTTTTTATTTAAAGAAAAACAATTTTAAATATAACAATGTTACATGCAATCAAGAAAAATGATCTTATGTAAAATATTACATACAATAAACAATATTTCAAGAATAAAAGGATTATAAGTATAATAATATTACCAAAACTGTACTAACATAGTATATCACAAAAGTTGTAGGAAATATTAAAAATCTGCAAATAACAGGATTACTTCTATTATATTCTAGTATATTTTTTCTCCTCTGGCTCTATTTTGGTTCATTAGTTTGTGTTGTTCATTATATTCCACAAATGAGTGAGATAATATGATATTTATCTTTCTCTGACTGGCTTATTTCGCTTAGCATGATGCTCTCCAGGTCCACTGCTGTTGCAAATGGTAAGGGTTCCTTCTTTTTTACTGTGAATGTTTCTGAGCTTTGGTTTCTCTATTCCCTCGATTCATAGGGATGGTGGGTAGCTTATCTAGTCTCCTATTTGCTCTAAAATGAGTTTAATGATACTTCCCCAAGTTTCTGCCCAGATTCTTGAGAGAAGCAAATGAGAATTGATTAGAAGACATTTTTAAAAGCTGTAAAGTGCAAATCTGCACTTGAATTTGGCACATCAGTAGTTACAGTAGTGATGGCATCTGCCTTGAATATGGTCGACACCTGT